CTCGGGGCTGCCGCCGTTCGTGTTGCACTGTAACTCGAGCTTTTGGCCCTCGGTGGCGGACGCCGCGTTCGGCGAGATCGTCGGTGGCCCAGGCGCTCTAAGTACGGTCAGAGTGATGAACTTGCGGTGCAGGTCGTGCCCGGTGCCGCTCGCCTTCACACGGCACTCGTACTTGCCGTTGTCCCTTTCATACGATACGTTTCGTATCTGAAGATCGTATCGACCGTCCTCTAAGTTCATGAACACCTTGTACTGAGGCGATAACGCGAGACTGTCTATCGCTGCGTTATCATGATTGTCATTGGTGTGCGTCAACCAGAAACAAGTTACGTTTTCCCTCGGTGGGGAGAAGCGACACTGCAGCTGTACGGTGGACCCCTCGTGCGTGTCCATCTGCGTTTCCTCGACGCGACCCTGTGCCGCTGCTGAAACACATCGAAACCAACCATCTCGTTAGAACTCGCGCTCCTATACACCGTTGTATATTTCTCGTCGACAGACGCACATTTTCTTTTCATCGCGCCGTGTGCATTTTCTCGCGTCCGTTTCCCATCGTCTAATTCCGTCTCGCGCTCCAACGGTCTAATATTCTATGCGCCAGAGCTTGCACGATTTATACCGTTCGTCATCACCGAGCCAACCTATACGCGGGAATCGTTTTGCAATTTTAACCGTCGCCGATATATAACGTCCACGTATATGCAAAACGATAGGCGTCGCGACGGCCAAACGATCCGTCGCTGTCTCGTCATTGGGTCGCGTAACGGTAAAGTCACCGGTTTGACTTCTCGCTGATATCGCGAGACCTCTCTTTCTTCTTCCTCTTATTCTCCTCTTTCGCGACTGTAACCCCACCACTACTGGGCGTTCGTTTCTTCGTTCGTTCGTTCGTTCGTTCGTTCCAAGGGATCGTTCCCCCTTTCCTTCTAACCACCTTAGCCTGCGTTATGTCAGCGTGCGTCTCTTTTCAACCTTCCTCTCTCACCTTTACCTGGTCCGTCCGGCTCCCACTCGCCGCTCAACCCATCTTTTCTCTACCTATGCACCAGTCTATATTTACGTCTGCTTGTCTCTCTATAAATCCATCCGCGCCGTTCTATCCCTCTTCGTTGCCTCTATCCCCTATCTTAGCTATTCATCGACCCATCGCAGTTTACGTTTTCCCTTCGAACTCTCCCCGCGTTTCTCGCCGTGGCTTGTTTACTTTTCGATAGCACCGTTTTCTTGCTCACGTGCCATCAGACGGACGCGACGTTCGATTTCTTTTATCGAGATACCGACTATACGTGTACGTATTTTCCTATCTTTACTAGCACGCGTGGAATGTGAGCGAGTGTATATATACGGTGCATCGTCGAAAAATCGATCGAAAGAGCGTTGTCGAACGAATCGTAACGAGCTGCCATCGGTGTGTCGTCGGTTACCTAACGTATATTATATTCGACGAAGAAGCAGCTGCAAGGCGAGCCGTAGCGTTAACCCGTCGCTCGTATACACGGAGACACCTGTGGCAGCTCGACTACGTCACGAAGCCTAATACCGTCGTCGCGGCGTCGTTCGGTATTTCTCCAACGGGAAGCTGCCTAAGCGAGCCGCGTTCTGCATACCTAACGAATTTACCATGACTACGCTATCGACACAGCTTCGTCGAATTTGTGTCTTTACAGCGTGAAATACGAAGAAACATGGCTCGTAATGCCACGTTCACAACGTGCAACGAAAAAATGACGAACTCGTCAACGAACAGCGAACGAAAAAGTACATCAAAGGATCTGTTTACATTTCGTTCGTGAACTGTAATGGTGGACACGGTGCTACTTCTATTCGCAATGACTACATACATAGCGGAATTATTTGCCAACAATTCTAGTTAATGTGGATGCGGCATTACAGCCGGCTCTACAGTACGATCTATACAACGATGCCATGTTAGCCAATTACAATTTTTCTTCGCTAACTGGTTCCCGCTTACAAAATTAATTCTTGGAACTTGTTTTGTGTAGCTTCTAGTATTGCGTATGTAAATGCACAAACGCGGCTGGGTCAATACTTGGGATTTTCGGAAAATATCTCCGCACAAGGTCGTAACTTGTAATCAGCTAGAAGAATATTTGCGTACTTCGATCTATACGTGAACGTTCGAACGTTTGTCGATAGGATTGAAATCGCGCGCAGAGTTTTCATTGGTCGAGGAGGCGAAAGGAGGCCTTCTCGGCCTCGAGCGCGGCCCAGAACGGGTTTGTTAAAAGGACGCGTAACAAAACTCGCTGCAAACTGCGACATACCGACACGGCACGTCGCGAGAGTCGCGACGCCATGCAAGGGCTCTCTTTCCAATCGTTTTCTTCGCCGGCCGTAAAACCGTTTCGTCATTCACGATGACACGATTCTCGGTAGGAAAAAATCTACCATCTTTTTCCTTTTTTCATCGAGAGAAAAGTAGGATCGACGAGTCTCGACGCAGGCTATAAACGAGGAACGAGTTTTTTCGTTTCTGGGGAATGTACTTACCGGGATACAGCAGCAGCGAGGTAACAACGATAATTGCCGCGATGCTCGGCAGTCGAATCCTATCCATTCTATCGGCAAAACGAATTCCACAAACGGTTCGAGTGGAACGGAACAACGAGAGGCGCAAATTGCGCGACTCCATTCGCACTGGAGGACAGAGTTCCGCGTTACAGCGACTTTCACCGAGAAACGACGGCGGTGCGCGAGTTTTGCCAGCACGCGGCATCGATGATCGTATCGATCTTCTCGATCACGCTCGTCAAATCACCAAACAAACCACTGCACGCATAACTCGATATTCGTTCTATTCTATCACTCGTTGTTTCACTCTCGCACCTTCTCTTCGCACTGTATCTCTCTCCCTTCGTCGAAATCGGTAAAACAAAGACAACAACAAGCTTCATCGGTCGCGATTCTTCCCGAATTCGTATGCGATCGACGTTTTCGAACGAGTCACGACTACCTGGATGGTAGACCCACGCGAATTGTTTCACGATCCACTGGCTCAAAAAAGTATCCTCCCATCGTCTCGGGTGCCCGACGCTTGGCTGCTTGATGGTTTCTCACTCGCGGCGATTTCTCAACAGCGGCATGCTCGTTGCAGCAGGTTCGCCGAGAACGACGAGGCTCGCACGGTGATTTCCATCGCGAGCATCCGTCCGTCCGCGGGACAGACAAAAAAGGAAGGTTTGCGCGCGATTTCAAAACGCCACGTTGCAACCGTCCGGCCTAAGGCACTCCTTTGTTCCGCTGGTGAGACTCGCAGGTATTATGCGCGTTCTCGCGTACCACCTTCGGTACGCGGATCTTCGTTCAACCGCTCCAACCTGCGATACTCGATCGCCACCTACGTGCTTTGTCCTTCTGTTCGTGAAACTTTACTTTCCCCTGTGGTTTTCGCGAGACGGTCAGTCGATGCAAAAATAGCGAGGGACGAGCGAGGAAGCGAGGGCAACGGGACGAAAATAAATCGAAAAATGTGTCAAGATGGAGAAAGTGTACGGCGAAACGAATGTAAAACTTGCAACATGCGAATAAAGACACTGTTCTGTCGTCGGATATCGTACAAGTCCGTTTTCAGTAAGAACACTATAAGGGTAACGTATCCGTAGGAGCGTTAAAAAATTCCAATATCAACTAACATTCACGCAAACACACTCGACAAGGGTCGCGCGACGACTGAGCTTGGGGTCGCGTAGCATCGGCGCTACCCCCCACCGGTCGGCTTCTCCCCGATCGCCGCGTCCCCCACTACGGTTTGGTGCGCGCGTAGCGCAGCGCGCAACGTACAACCGGTCGTCGTTCGTTCGTATGGATATATATGTATAGGACGATGGTGTCGGAGGTGGTGATGGTAGTGGCGATGCTAGTGGTGACGATGATGCTGGCGATGGTAGCCAAGGTGGCAGCGGCTGGACGGAAGACGAACGGCGAACGAACGTGTTCGAAGAGGACAGAGAAAAAAGGATCGGAGGGAAACACATAGGGCATGATGAAGACGAGGCAGAATAAGGTAAAGCCATTGAGGAGAAGAGAGAAAACGATGGTTAGAAAAGGTTGGAAGCGCGAGAACAGCTTGCCCCCACCGACCTATGCGGCAGGTGGTTCTTACCGCCGTGGGCTAGGCCCAAGGGATTGCCAAACCTTCGCGCGGCCGTCTGTCGTTGAGCTTTTTCATCGGCGAGCCTGCTCTCGACCCCCGCGCAATTTTTTCTCTCTCGAAATAACCGCTAGGGACGACGAACGACGACCGAGGAATTTAACGAGGACGAACGTCCTGTTTAAGGGTCAACTTCGCGGCTACTACTCCTCAACTGGAATCGCGAGGAATCTTAGCGAGAGGGTACATTGGTCGCGAAAAGAGAAGAATCGCGACCGGTGGTTTTTCGACGGTCGAAGGACACCTCGGTGCAGCAGGTGTCCGTTTCTCGACGATCGCTCCTCTCCACCCGATTTACCACGCTACCTGCCTCTTACTTTCGGCCAGCTGCTCCTCCATCCTGCGGAATTCTCTATTTTCCTAGGAATAAATATTCCCATCGTTCTGATAGTCGAAGGATGCGTTGGACGAAAGGTGCGCGGACATATGGCTCGCGTGAAAATCGACGTTTCCCACACCCGCGCGCGTTCACGTTCACAAACCGTAAGAGGAGCGCTGAACGCGATCGAAGGGAAGATGCGAAGGATGAGAAGGGGTACGAAATGAAATCGAAGACGGGTCTCGAGGACGAGAGAGGCCGCAAAGAAGCGGGTCTCGATTCGGATGAAAGGCGGAGGACTCAACCAAGGGGAAACGTTCGTTGTTCGACGGCGATCGGTTTTCGGCTCGGTTTGAAAAATCGGGCGAGCGGTGAATGGTAGACGATCAGGTCGAAGTTTGCACGCGAGACGCGTCAAAAATGCGCTTAATTAAACGGTAACGATTGCCGTTCGCGAGCCGTTAACGAACCTTCGTAGGAACGGTCAGCGGAATAAGCCCGGCGGAATCGTCGAAATAATTGCGGCCGCGATAATTGCGCCTCGATTCGAACGATTCCGGGTGGCTCGCGTCAGCCCCGCGGCTTCTCCAACTTTTCACCCATCGATTAAAAGCGCGCGATTAAACCCTGTGTCATTCTCAACACGTTGTAAACGTCTCGAGTGCCCTCGTCTGCGCGATTGGATTCGATCGATGGCGTTGCTTCTTTCCATTCGCGCTCGTAAAACCGACGCTCGATCGTACTAAATCTAGTAGATCGAAACGACCGAATCGTGAGTCTTCGTGTACGCGAGATCCGTCCGGCCTGGAGTTTCAAGCAAGGTTAACGGAGAGTTAGCCCGGAGAGAGAGAAAAAGAGAGAGAGAGAGGAAAAGGCAAGCAACAAAGACGAAGTATGGTGGCAAAGAGGGCAGCCGGGCCTCGCACAGCATCCCGTGGCCGCCACGTCCAGTCACGCGAACCATTAAAGATTCAAAGCCCGGAGGCCGAGCAGATGGTCCCCGAACCGAGAAACGAGAATCGTGAAAAGATCTCTGCCAAGAAGCAACAGCCCGGACTCGGACTCGGACCCGAAAGCGGCAGCCCAGGAATTACTAGGAAGCGGCAACACCGCCGG